CGTAAAAAAAAAGTGGAAATTCGAGAAAATGGGAGGGATAGAGAAACAGGGGAAGGGACACATAGTAGGTAACTTTAGTCTGGGGGCCAAGGTGGTCTTGCAGTGATGTATAATCCCCACAAAACTGCAGGAGGCAAAAGAGGTTGAAGGGCAACGGCAATGGTGGAAATTGCTGAGGTGGGAAGAAGAGCTACTCCAGCGAACAAAGTTGCTGGTTATGGGGGATTTCAACCCCAAGGGGATTGATGGGAAAACCCGGAGCCACATGGGGAGTCCGAAAATGGGAGAGCCAAGATGTTGGATGTGGTGCTGGAAAAAATATCACCAACATGTTTAAAGGACACTACCGAGGGGAGGGGGATGAACCCGAAGATTGGACATTGTGTTCACCCTGGGGCAGTTAGACATTTGGGGCATCACTATGAGAGTCCCTGGAGCTAGTGACCCGTGGTTCTGTGCTTTGAATAATAGTAGAGTTGCAAAAGGGGAGAGAGTCAGGGGTTGAAAGGGAAAAGCCAGACTATAAAAGAGGGGACACATAGGGGGTTTAGGAACTTCCTGCGGAGGTTTCCCTGGGACAGAGAAAATGGCAGGAAAGCCGTAAATGAAATGATGGAAAATTAACAACAAAGCAAGGAGGGGTGGAAAGGTTTATTCCCAAAGGGGAACAGAAACAAAGGGGAAAACCAAACGAGCCCTGGTTTACCCCACGGTGTAAGGAGGCAAAAAAAAAAAGTGCAATAGAGAATGGGAAAAAAAACAGAAGGCAGAGAAACACGAAAAAAAGGGAGATTTGTGCGAGCCAGGAAAAAGTATGCACGTAAGGAGGGGGGCCCCGAAAAAGTATGAAAATAACATAGCATTGAAAATCAAGACTGACCCGAAACTGTTGTATGGCCACATCAGGAGGAAGACAACAGTCAAAGACCAGGTGATCAGACTGAGGACAGAAGGTGGAGAACTCACAAGAAATGATCAGGAGGTATGTGAGGAGCTAAACAGGAGATTTAAGGAAGTTTTTACTGTAGAGACAGAAAGGGCTCTGGGAAGACAGCACAGAAGGGAACATCAAGAGGGATATACCAACAAGTGTTGGATGACATACGAACAACTGAGGAGTAAGTGCAGAAGCTGCTAAGTGACCTTGATACCTCAAAGGCGATGGGCCAGGACATCTCCCCGTGGGTCCTTAGAGAAGGAGCAGAGATGCTGTGTGTGCCCTTAACCACAATCTTCAACACATCCCTTGAAACTGGGTAACTACCTGAGAAATGGAAGACAGTAAATGTAGTCCCCATATTTAAGAAAGGAAACAGAAATGAGGCACTAAACTACAGACCTGTGTCTCTGACATGTATTGTGTGCAAAGTCATGGAGAAGATTATCAGGAGGAGAGTGGTGGAACACCTGGAACGGAACAAGATTATAAATGAAAACCAGCATGGGTTCAATCCCGGCCGGGGCTATGGTTCACAAACCCTCTGGGGTTTTATGACAAGGTAACAGAAGACACGAGAGAGAGGGATGGATTGATTGCATTTTCCTAGACTGCAGGAAGGCCTTTGGCACAGTTCCCCACAAGAGATTAGTGCAGAAGCTGGAGGATAAGGCGCATATAACAGGGAGGGCACTGCAATGGATCAGGGAATACCTGACAGGGAGGCAACAACGAGTCATGGTACGTGAAGAGGTATCACAGTGGGCGCCTGTGACGAGCGGGGTCCCACAGGGGTAAGTTCTAGGACCAGTGCTATTTTTGATATATGTGAACGACATGATGGAAGGAATAGACTCTGAAGTGTCCCTGTTCGCAGATGACGTTGATGAGAAGAATTAAATCGGATGAGGATGAGGCAGGACTGCAAAGAGACCTGGACAGGCTGGACATGTGGTCCAGAAACTGGCTTCTCGAATTCAACCTTGCCAAATGCAAAGTCATGAAGATTGGGGAGGGGCAAAGAAGACCGCAGAGTATAGGCTAGGTGGACAAAGACTACAGACCTCACTCAGGGAGAAAGACCTTGGGGTGACCATAACACCGAGCACGTCACCGGAGGCACACATCAACCAAATAACTGCTGCAGCATACGGGCGCCTGGCAAACCTGAGAATAGCGTTCCGATACCTTAATAAAGAATCGTTCAAGACACTGTACACTGTGTATGTTAGGCCCATACTGGAGTATGCAGCACCAGTCTGGAACCCACACCTGGTCAAGCACGCCAAGAGGTTAGAGAAAGTACAAAGGTTTGCAACAAGGGTAGTCCCAGAGCTCAGGGGAATGTCGTACGAGGAAAGGTTGAGGGAAATCGGACTGACGACACTGGAAAACAGAAGGGTCAGGGGAGACATGATAACGACATACAAGATACTGTGGGGAATAGACAAGGTGGGCAGAGATAGGATGTTCCAGAGAGAGGACTCAGAAACAAGGGGTCACAACTGGAAGCTGAAGACTCAGACGAGTCACAGGGACGTTAGGAAGTATTTCTTCAGTCACAGAGTCATCAGGAAGTGGAATAGCCTAGCAAGTGAAGTAGTGGAGGCAGGAACCATACATAGTTTTAAGAAGAGGTATGACAAAGCTCAGGAAGCAGAGAGGAAGAGGACCTAGTAGCGATCAGTGAAGAGGCGGGGCCAGGAGCTGAGTCTCGACCCCTGCAACCACAATTAGGTGAGTACAATTAGGTGAGTACACACACACACACGGACACACACACACAGTAGCGACCAGTGAAGAGGCGGGGCCAGGAGCAATGATTCGACCCCTGCAACCACAACTAGGCAAGTACAACTAGGTGAGTACACACAAACACAGAGGCGGGGCCAGGAGCCGTGACTCTACCCCTCGCAACCACAACTAGGTGAGTACACACCAACCGAATAACTGCTGCAGCAAATGCGTGTCTGGCAAGTTTAAGTTTAGCTTTCAGGAACCTCAGCAAGGAGTCATTATATGAGGGATATGCAAGACCCTATTGGGCTATGAAGCCCCAGTATAGAAACCACACCTGATCAAGCATGCTAAGAAACTGGATAACGTACAATACTTTTTGTGAAGTTAATTAAGGGAGAGACTAAAGCAGCTAAACTTGATATTAAAGAACAGAAGGGGTATCATAACTACCTACAAAATTCTGAGAATTAACAGGATGGATTGTTCGAAAGACGGGAACAGGAACATGAAAGTCCTTGTAGTTGCTGTTACCTTTCCACTGGACGAGCTGATGTCAGCCAGTCAGTCACCTGGCCAGGAAATGGTGGCGTGCCAGCCTGGGTCCAGGTAGCAACTCCATGTTAGTATTTATGATCTCTCCCATTTCCACAGACCTTAACGATAAATGAAAGCCGCTTCTGATAACTGCTGGATACAAGGGTGTCTGGTCTAAATAACTTCGTTTACAGAGAGATGTCAAGATTGATTTCTGTTTAATACATAATGTTAGGAGTGATCTAGGATTAACTACTTATTCACTGACTGATGTAAGAGTATCACGATCGACTAGCAAATTGACCACTTATTCATACATTGGTACCAGCACCCATTAATGCTGGTTAAAGGGCGTCAGGACTGATTCATTAACTGGTGATTAATTTAACAGCGCCAATACTGATTGCTTGAATTTTTCACAATTGTGAATGTGAGGATATTTCATGATGGTCATACGAACTTAACTCACATTATCTTCTGTTTATATATGACAGATGTAAGTTGTTGGATCAGAAGTCTGCATTGATGTAGACGGCATTAAGGACGATCATTATAGTTATTATTAACGTTATTGTTCATGGACTAAAGCTGAATTTACCAATTTATAAAATATTAAGAAAGTATAAATAGGAATGAACCTTTAATAATAATAATAATAATACTATTATTATAAACTATTGGAGATGTTATAAGCCATTTTCAGAAATGTTATCATAGGAAATGCCAGGAAAGGAGAATGCTGGGAAATCTTAAGAGAAATGTTTGGTTATATTTTAGGCAGTGTTGGTCCCAATTCGCCTTTTTTTATGGAAGAAACTGTGAAAATTAAAACGTTGCCTCATCCAAATGCCTTCATCCTTAGACACTGAAAACTTGATAAGTGAAATTCTAAACAGCTTCAAACTTAACGTGCTGATATAATTTAAGATATGGCTTCTTTATCTTGGCTTCAAGGCTAGTGCTTGTTAGTGGAATGTTTGAATCAGTTTTGTGCTGTTTACTTTCTAACTTTTGTTGAAAAACTTGGGATATTAGTGTCCATGTGATAACCTGTGAATATCTCTTATGATTCAGTTCAAATCTACATTTATAATATCTAACTGCATTAGAAAGTTACGGTGCACTCTGCACTATTCCTTTAGCATAGACTGACGTACAGGAATCTGGGATTGTGCAATACGGAGATACCTCTCTCAGACTACGCAACGACCGAGAGGCAACTAGTCGACAGCAGTAACAGCAGGAGACCCCGAGCTTCCTACAGAAAATCTGGTTTGAGCGCGGTAGCTTAGAGAACCAAACTTTTCCAGTTGCTGGCCAACCATCATCCCTTAAATGGCGTTGTCTCACGAAGCCGTCACATTTATTTCTCTAACGGAGCCGTCACATGGTGCCGTCACATAGTGCCGTCACAACGAAGGACGCAGCTCTGGAGATCACCAGCTTGTGTTGCTGTGTCAAGTTTGACGCTGACAACAGTTCTCAAAATTTGTCCGGAAACGAGAATATGTTGAAATATGATATGAACCGAGTATGAGCTGGAAAATGGTAGCGTTGCCAAGGAGACTTTATGAACAAACTGAATTCTTGCTTTCGCCAAAATGTATCCCTCAACAAATAAAATGACTGCTACTGCACAGCGTAATTTTTTTACTACATTGTTACTGCCGTCTACTGTCATGTTTTAACAAAGAATATAAGTGATGATGAATGCTTGGATTTCCCACCTGATGGTAGGGAAGGGAGGGAGGGGGAGGGAAATATCCGTGAGGACATTTGACCTAGAGCGTGAGGTTTAAAAGAAGGTGCAGCTGAAGACAGACGGCCAGTTGGCCTTGCAAGGTGAGGGAAAACACGAGTGTTTACGAGCCTTAGGAATCACACGTAAGTTGGTGTTGACGGAGGTTGTTGCTAAATGCAGGCGTTCAGCTTCCATTGTGGCAGCTCGTACGTGTCACAGTGATAGCTTGTACGTGTCAGTGATAGCTTGTACGTGTCAGTGATAGCTTGTACGTGTCACAGTGATAGCTTGTACGTATCACAGTGATAGCTTGTACGTGTCACAGTGATAGCTTGTACGTGTCACAGTGATAGCTTGTACGTGTCACAGTGATAGCTTGTACGTGTCACAGTGATAGCTTGTACGTGTCACAGTGATAGCTTGTACGTGTCACAGTGATAGCTTGTACGTGTCACAGTGATAGCTTGTACGTGTCACAGTGATAGCTTGTACGTGTCACAGTGATAGCTTGTACGTGTCACAGTGATAGCTTGTACGTATCACAGTGATAGCTTGTACGTGTCACAGTGATAGCTTGTACGTGTCACAGTGATAGCTTGTACGTGCCACAGTGATAGCTTGTACGTATCACAGTGATAGCTTGTACGTGTCACAGTGATAGCTTGTATGTGTCACAGTGATAGCTTGTACGTGTCACAGTGATAGCTTGTACGTGTCACAGTGATAACTTGTACGTGTCACAGTGATAACTTGTACGTGTCACAGTGATAGCTTGTACGTGTCACAGTGATAGCTTGTACGTGTCACAGTGATAGCTTGTACGTGTCACAGTGATAGCTTGTACGTGTCACGTGATAACTTGTACGTGTCACAGTGATAGCTTATGTCACAGTGACAATAGTATTTGTCATAGAGACAGCTTGTATGTGTCACAGTTAAAACCTGTGTGTGTCATTGACTATATCTACTTCACCATAAATTACACCACCAGCCGTGATGTGTGTTAGTACTGTAGATGTGAACCTTGAATGTATAGCATTATTTTTTACTTATTTTATATATTGAAAATGTCAATTGCACTTCATGAAGAAAACTAACCCAATATAAAATTTGTCCACCGAGATATGGATTAACACGCGTCTTGTACACTCCACAGTTACCAAGCAGCTGATCATTACCTCTAAGATGCAGCATCAGCGAGTCATCCTCTACATGATCCTCAGTGTGGTCGCCGTTCTCGTCGCCGACGCCCACCACAGCTACTACTACAAATGGAGATCCCACCACTACCATAGGCCCCAATGGAAAGTGAGATACTTCTATTACGAGCCAGGAACAGGAAAAAGTTTCATGCCCATGCAGAAATATCCTGTGTTCAACCACAAGAAACCAAATCAATGCCAGGACACACCATGGATGGAGGAAACCTTCATCCAGGAAATGGAGAAAAAGAGCCAGAGGTGCCTTCTATCCTAGACGTCGTAGATGTGAGACACGGTATCAGAGGTAAGTGCAGCTTCACCTCTAATATGAACCTCTCATAATGCAATGTGAAAACTGCACGTCCATACATCGTACCCCCTCCTCATCCTACCCCCCCTTCCACACACAAACACCCGTCAGGCACCATAAAGTATCATTCGTAACCGTACGATGTATCTTACATCTGCCAGGCATGAGGGCCAAGACCGATTAAGCAGTCAAGAAATTAGACTGGCTGACCTACGAGAGACTGAAAGAACTCAACCTACCGACCTTAGGGACTAGAAGTATCAGGACAAACTTAACAACTTACAAAGTACTTGGTAAAGCAAGGCAAGGATAGACAAAGCCGGTGATCGGGAACAAGGTGACATTGAAGTTCATAAAGACGCAAATAAATCTTCTTTCTCAAGTAGTCGGGAAGTGGAATGACCTAGAACGGAAAGCGGAAAAAGCAAACTCCATACACAGTTGTAAGGAACTTGTCCAACAGGTCGTATATACTTAATAGGCCGTGCTAGGAGCTGAAACTCGATTCCTGTAAGGACAACTAGTACATACAACCACACATTCTTATACGAGTATTTACTGAAGGTAAAAGGTAGCAGAAATATACAGACCTGACACTGTCAACACCGAATTATACTGAGAATCATTGTTTAGGATTACCACACCAAGAGTGTGTAGATCGGCTGTGACCGAGTTGTGGTGGGTATAACTCCTCGTGTGTTGCCCGGATGTTTAGCACCAGCTGTCGTCACCATTGTTGGTAACCTTTTTTTACTAGCGCAAGACGGATATCAAACACTTCTTTACCAAAGTCTGTGTTCACAGAATTGTGAACACAGAATCGAGTACAAGCTTATAGCCAGGGCTCATATTTTTCAATAGATTGGTGTATCTAACTGCTAGCCTCAGGTCTCCAGCTCTATATATTTATTTTGGAGTTTGCCTGCACTAGGTTTGCATCTGTCTCACTCTCGGTTTGTCACCATCATTTCAATAAAGTGAGTAATTACATCCATTTGAGCCATGCGCTCAGGTTCATTTATGGTTTCTTGATCAGGTTCCCCTGCTTGTCAATCTGTCCTTGTTTATTTTTTGTACATCGCAAATACATCTTTTACCCTTCCTGCTTCTGGATGAAGTTGCTTCAGTTTAGGGCCCTTAGCTCCGAGATTTTCCCCAGTTTCTGTATTTGGCCTGACAGACGTAGTGTAGAGTCGTTCACGGCTCCTTCAGTAGTTGAACAAGTACGTCAACATTACATATACCGCTGCTGTAATACTGTTGCTATGCTCATCGGGACAGCAATAGTGACAGTTTTATCCTCCTCTTCGGTTTATCTGATACCTGGGGTTGTTTTCCATGAGAAACTATGTAGCTCGTCATATTTACCCAGCACCCTGTCTTATTATTTTACATTTAATGGAACAGATATCCAGCAGCTGCTCGTTGGACCAGTCCAGCAACAGTTTGTCCAAATAGTTTTGCAGGAAGCACGTGTATATGTAAAACAAGTGAAAATTTAATATGGAATTTTAACAAAATGAGGAATACAAGTGCAAGTGCTTAAGTGATGTATCAAAGAACACTGGAAGTATGTATGTATGCACGTACGTGTTAGTTACCATTTTGTCCCAGGCACATGTCGATTAGACACTAGGCCTGATGTATATGCGTTAGGTGTGTGTGTGTGTGTGTGTGTGATTGTGTGTGTGTGTGTGTGTGTGTGTGTGTGTGTGTGTGTGGTGTGTGTGTGTGTGTGTGTGTGTGTGTGTGTGTGCGTGCGTGTGTGTCTGTGTGTGTGTGATTGTGTGTGATTGTGTATGTGTGATTGTGTGTGTGTGTGATTGTGTGTGTGATTGTGTATGTGTGATTGTGTGTGTGATTGTGTATGTGTGATTGTGTGTGTTGTGTGTGTGTGTGTGTGTGTGTGTGTGTGTGTGTGTGTGTGTGTGTGTGCGTGTGTGTGTGTGTGTGCGTGCGTGTGTGTCTGTGTGTGTGTGATTGTGTGTGATTGTGTATGTGTGATTGTGTGTGTGTGTGATTGTGTGTGTGATTGTGTATGTGTGATTGTGTGTGTGATTGTGTATGTGTGATTGTGTGTGTGTGTGTGTGTGTGTGTGTGTGTGTGTGTGTGTGTGTGTGTGTGTGCGTGCGTGTGTGTCTGTGTGTGTGTGATTGTGTGTGATTGTGTATGTGTGATTGTGTGTGTGTGTGTGATTGTGTGTGTGATTGTGTATGTGTGATTGTGTGTGTGTGTGTGTGTGTGTGTGTGTGTGTGTGTGTGTGTGTGTGTGTGTGTGTGTGTGTGATTGTGTGTGTGATTGTGTGTGTGATTGTGTGTGTGTGTGTGTGTGTGTGTGTGTGATTGTGTGTGTGTGTGTGTGTGTGTGTGTGTGTGTGTGTGTGTGTGTGTATGTGTTCACTTCCATGCCTCGCCTCTACCTCCTTCCCCTAATACCTGCTCCTATGCCCGATAGCTTTCCACTACCCCTCACACCTTCCCTCCCCTACCCCCATCACACCTTCCCTCCCCTACCCCTCACACCTTCCCTCCCCTACCCCTCACACCTTCCCTCCCCTACCCATCACACCTTCCCTCCCCTACCCCCATCACACCTGCTTCCCTTCCACCCATGTCTGGGTTTACGTTACTGATATTATTTATCTTTCTTGCTTCAGCTTCATAAACGTTTACTACCATGACGGATGGTAACGTATTCTTCGTTGGTGGCTATGAGAAGACAAGCCTGTGTGAGGAGTCATCTACAGGCACCACCATTGATACCAGAACTACCAGCATCACCACTACCAGTAGCACCACCAGCAACTACCACCACCACCACCAGCAACTACCACCACCACCAGCGACTACCACTACCACCAGCAACTACCACCACCACCACCAGCAACTACCACCACCACCACCAGCGACTACCACTACCACCAGCAACTCAGACATGAACCGTGATGAGGAACCATGCTAGGCTCAACCATCAAACTTCTCATCACTACATTATTACAAAATCTTGTACTACAAAAATTAACAATATATAAAAAAATTTGTTACTGTGCAGTACTTTTAATATGAATAAAGTTTTATACATCACTTGAACTATTTACTGGCAGAATAACTGGAAACAAACTCCTGCCTCTGTCTTGTGTAGTAGCTGCTCCTGAAGCCTTGAATACGGTGACGGGCTCTGGATCCAAGGAACTGGAATTATCCTCCCTTTCCTTGGACTGAGCTTGAATGCCTCCTATTCCTCAGGCGCTTTATAACCTCTAAGGGTTTAGCGCTTCCCCTCATTAAAACAATAATTGAATAGACGCCCGCATAGTATATTATTCTGTCTTACTTCTAAGAGGTGACGCAGATGATGGTATCCCCAACATGATGGTATCCCCAACATGATGGTATCACCACATGATGGTATCCCCAAAACCATGATGGTATCCCCCTATCTTGATGGTATCCCCCACCCAATGATGGTATGCTCCACACCATACTGGTACATACGTATTGAAACAAAAGCCTTTTACTTGTTCCAAGGTTGCTA